GCCTTCAGCTCAATTTAAAGATCAGAATTCAAGAGATCGGGAATAAAGAATTCAACATCAAAACCAGATATACTGATATAAGCTTTTGCTTCTAAAATCAAATATGCAGCTCAGAAAAGTTGTCATTAGAAATCAAAGATCAGATCAAGATGAATAGACCAGAAAATCAGATGTACTGATATAAGCTTCTGATTCAGAAATCAGACATCAGACATGCAGCTTAGAAAAGCTTATTATTAGAAATCAAGAACACATCAAGACATAGTGAACCAGAAAAGCTTCATTCACAAAAAAATAAGTTTTACCCAAGATTGGATGTTTCTTGTATATCTGAAGACAATATTCAAATATCTAAAAGACTCTGACTCTACAACAAAGAAGCATCTTCTGGATCACTATCATTCTTCAATCAGAATCAATTTAGCAAGAAGAAAAGAATCAAAGCTCATAATTCAAAGACTTAAGAATCAGGAAGTTTGTTCCCACAATATTTGATTTCAAGATCCAAACATCATAAAAGCTTTTGATATCAACTTCAGAAAAGCTTTCGCCTACAACGACAAGACTTGTTTCTCTGATAAGTTGTTGCTTATATATCTGAAAACAAGAATCCAATAATGAAATATTCTGAAAGAAACATCTTCTCACTTAATATTCATCTCTCATATCAGATAAGATACGCGCCTTCAAGACTAGTTCTAAGATCAGAAGTCAAGCTTCGTGTTTCATAAAAACAATTGCTATTATTTCTGAAGACAAGTCATGGTTCTGAAAACTCTGATGTTCCTATGATATAACAACAAAGTAGTTTCTGAACTACTCATAAGCTATTCATCAGAAGAATGAAGATAAGGTAATTGATATTTTCCAAGTTTAATACTTTAGAATCAAAAGTTCATCATCAGAAGATAAAGATCAAGAAACTTAGTCAAGAAGAATGCAGTACAAACAATACACCATAAATTCCACTATGATAATATTGGTTATACTATTCACATTAGTTGTCTCCCAAGATATTATGCTAACAACTGCAAGCATCAGGATAAGTAAAGTGACATTTTATACTATTTCAAACCTCTCTTGAATCTATCTATTGGGAATCAACCGTTATAAGGAGAAAGGACTTTTCTACCCTTTCAACGACTCTTTTTGAAGGATATACAAGAAGATCATTAAAATAAAGTCAAGTTGCTAAAAATTCGTGGATGCAAATGTTGTTGAAGCTGTTACGCTGAAGCCAAACACAAAGAAAAGAGAGAAAAGAAAGAAAGAAGAGAAAGAAAAATTATACAAGATGTTACACAAATTCTCATCAAATACATCTTTGTAGAAATAAGAAGAAGCAAAGAGTTGTTGCTCATAACTTGCTCAACAAAGAAGATGAAGAAGAAGAACACTATAAGATGCTACTCAACTACTAATCAAATACATATTTGTAGATCAATGTAAAAGACACAAGAGTTGTTTCTTATATTGTGTTATAGTTTTAGTTCTTCATGTAAATTGTTTGAGCACAAGAGTTGTTGCTCAAAATTGTGTTAAACAATATGTACTTAATCATTTGTGTAATCTGCTTGAAAGAAGCAATCATTTAAATACAAACCTATTCAGGTGTAAGTTGATTATTCCTTGAGTGACTAAGTGATGGTCAGATACTCAAGATGACAGTGGAAGTATGTCATTATGGAATCCTTTTAAGAGACCATTTTGATCAATTATTATAAGGTTAATGATCGCTAGATCTCTTAGGGGACCAAAGGGGTAAAAATTCTTAAGAGATCACTGGAATATGATCATTGTGAGAAATCCTCTTAGGGGACCGGGTTGGTCAGAATTCTTAAGGGGTCAATGATCGTCAAATCTCTTAGGGGACCAGGTAGGTTAGAATTCTTAAGAGATCACTAACAATTAATCATTGGTTGGTTGTTAGCCACCGACACATAGCCCGTGCATTTGTAATTAGTTTGGTTATAGTTGATTAAGTCCTTGTTGAAGGAAAAATCATCCGAGGGTAATCCTGCAACATAAACCAGATAACAATGCTTTCATCTTTATCTTACTTTAAGTCAACTATCTTGATAAGAGACAAGAGTATCTTCTAACCAACTTATCTTCTAAGAACTCTTCTTCCAAAAAGCTGAAAGCATTTGGTATAACCAGAGATTTCATGAGAAGTCATGAATCGCTTTCATCATCTTTCTTCTTCAAGCAAACAACTCAACCTATTCTGGATTCCAAGAATAATTATTTCTTTTAGAAATAATACCATAAGCACAAACTATGAACCACCAAAGTTCTTCCATCAGAGGCATATGCAACAGAGCACAAATTAAAACAACCTCAACATGTTCCAGGAAAGATGTCAGGACATCTTGTAGGACATAATCCACAGACAATCATTAGTAGTTGTCACCTAAACACAACCATCAGTAGTTGTGACCTCAAGACAACCATCAATAGTTATCACATCAACATCACAACCATCAGTAGTTATCACATCAACATTATAGCCATCAGTAGTTGTAACAGAATCAACATACAAACAACCATCATTAGTTGTTGTATCAGCAACAAAACCATCAATAGTTGTGACATAAAGGCAACCATCAATAATTATCAACAACAACAGAAGCATACACATCTACCATTAGTAGTAGCATCACCATAATCATAAACAACATCAACCAGACCATCAAACAACCATAAGTAGTTATTTCTTGATTCCAAGAAAGCCATCATCCTAGCCTTCGAATAGCCAAATAGTACCAAAAATATCCCTGAAGCTCACCCAATGACAGACAGGGTGCCTGCTCTGATGCCAATTGAAATTCTGGCACAAGTACACATCATGAACATACATATATTTTCAACATCAGAACATGATGTTAGGACATATGTTACGACATCTATAAACAGACTGAATAAAAATACTACACTGATATATTATGCAAAATTATAAACACAAAATGATAAAGTATACAATCAATTTTTAACCCAGTTCGGTGCAACTCATCTATATTTGGGCGCTACCAAGCCAGGAAGGAAATCCACTATTAGCAGTATTAATTCGAAGCTAAACTAACCCATTTATAACCTCTCACTTAATCCCTACTGTTGTACCCCAAAATTTCCCCTCTTTATTTTCTATCTCGAATTGGATTATACTTTGTTAACATGCACATATATGCATGTAGCGTTGAAAATCATAGATCAAGCTATCAATTAACTTAACTCGCAAATAAGCAAGAGTCGCAATCGCACTTTATTATTTCCAAGGGAAAAGAGAAAAGTGCGAAGGAAAACTCATAAATATGCAAAGTAAGTGCAATACTAAAAGTAAATAAAAATACAATGCATTTGAAAGAGATCGAAGGTTCGGGGGTTGGTTATACAAAGGGAAAGTACTAGCACCCTATGTATCTATAGTATCCTATAGGAACCTTTTGAAATATATGTTTTTTGGTTAAAATTAGTTTGCTTGCTAAATGAGTGTGGGGATGAGATCTTGAAGATGAGACGACCTAGTGTCAAAGTTTTAGCTTATATGAGTGTAAGTTTGAAAATTGAGTTTTTTAGGAGATTTAACTTAAAATTAACAAAACTAAAAAATATATGAAGGGGTTTCACATAATCATATAAGATACACTCGATGACATGAAGTCAATGAAATTAATCATTTTTCCTTGGATTCAGCAATTAAATAATTAAATAAAAATTAAAAATTATTAAAATAAAGAGATTAAAAGATACTAATATATATTTTTTGTTATTTTTATAAGGGGAAAGAAATAATTATAAACCTAATTTAATATTTATTTTTTGTATTTTATGTATGAATTTTCAATGAAATAAGGCTAAAAATAAAATTAAATACTTAAAACTAAAAAAAATAAGAACCAGGGATTGAACTCAGGTTCCTTTTGTCACAACTAAACTTCCTTGCCACTAAACCAATGTTACCTTGCTGTTATGGTTACTCTTCAAATGGTATAAAGGGATAAGTATGATCGGGTTGGGCTTTAAAGCTTAAGCCCAAACACAGATCCACCAAGAAAGGAGGTGAAGGGTTTTTGAAACCCTAAGAACATGTAAGAGGCGTCGTTGGTCTTTGGAGAATGGAAAGAATTGGTCAACATTTTAATTCTTAATTATTATTATCATTACTAAAGAGAAATTGGAAAAAATAAAACCACAATTCCCAATTCTCTGCACGCTTCTCTTTCCATCTTCATTCACGTTAGTTCTTCTGAACAAATAACAACAACAATTCACTCTCTTTCATCAAAACTCACGGTTCAAAATCTTCTACTGATTTTCTCAACCGATTCTTTTCATCTCTACATCTCAATCGATTCTCTCGCACTCTAATTTCATAGTTCCTGAATCGAGCCAATAACCATAAATTTTCGGTTTATTTCTCTTTCTCATGGTTTAAGTTTCAGTGACAAACAAAAATACACACAGTTTCAATCCTAGGTATGCTAACGGTTTCGCTCACTTGGTTCAAAGGTTATGGAATAATAACAACAACAACACTACCCTTTATCTTTCTCGATGCTACGACAACAACTCAGTTTTTTGCTGGCTCTCTTCTCTCAGCATATAGTTTCAGCATCAATAGCAAGTAACAAAACCGACTACAATGGTAAAGACAAGTATGGAAAAATAAGATTTACAAACTTAGTCCAATAATCCCAAAGGTTTACGCTTGAAAAATCTCTAGTAAGCTATATATTGACTCAATCTTCCCCTTCTGTTCTTCTTCTTCTTATGAGTCTGCGATGTTTGTGTTCTGATTTGTTATTGAATTGTCGCAAGTGATGTAGTTGTGAAACTTCACAGGTCTGTTTGTGTTTAATGGAGGTGATGAGTGTGGTGATGCTATTTATATGGTGTTTAAGTATTGAGATAACTTGATGTGGTTTTTTGGGTTGCAGGGTGAGTAAGGTTGCAATGACGGTGACAAGATATAAGCTGAAAAAAAGTTAGTTTGCAGGATGCTAAAGTTTTGTTAGTAGAGGTTTTAGAAGGAATTTTTCTATTAGTAGTGGTAAGGTTGTGGGATGGAACAAGTTGGAGGGGCGAGTTTGCAGAGTTTTGGTTGTGATTTCTCTCTGAAATTTTTCTGTGTTTATGTATTCTTCTGAGTTTCTTGTGTGTGTTGAATACGAGTGACACAATGATGCTGTTGTGGTTTCAGGGAGAGTATGAGAAGGCATAGTGAAGTCTTTTGGTGTAATTATTTGAGTTGATGAGTATGGGATGGAGTTTGGTTTTTAGTTGAACATGGAGTATGCAGTTGGTAGATTGAGGGGCCCTGAGTTGGTGAAGTTATGTTGAAACAGTGGTTATTTGGCCGTGAGAAAGATGGGGGTATAACAAGTGTTTTAAAGAGAATATTTGTTAGTACAGAAGAGTGAGGAAGAGATTTTTGTGTACCATCTTCTCAGGTTATTTCTTTGTAATTTTCCTCTTGATTTTTCTCAATGCTTCTGTTGTGATTCTTGGTTTATTGGACAGAAGTTAAAGGCTTATCTATGTATCTTTTGCTCTCAATATTCTCTGAGTTTGCTAAGATTTTCCCTCCATTTGAATGATCAATAAATGTTGTTTAAATAGGAAAAGGTAAGGATCAACAACTTCTTCATTAAGTTTCTCTCATGCCCTTTCATTGATGGACTATTTTTACTTTATTGATGCAGAAAGAATTTGGCCATTTTGGGTAATGTTTGGAGTAGTTTGCATCAGGTTTTGGACTGGTGTGATTATTGGTATCAAAGCTTGTTTTTTCTAATCTTCCACGTGCACATGTCTTGCATTTCCCCTCTTTTTTTTTTTGAATCTTGGACTGATTTTGTGATTCATGGCTTATTGTTTATTTAGTGGACATATTTGGTACAAGTGAAATAAATCATTTGAAAGGTTTGTTTTTATCATGATGCTTGGAGTAATTTGTTACAACAAAGTGGTCATGAAGTAAGATAATGTTTCTTTGGCTTGGGGATGGTGTAGCACTCTTGAAGACAAGATTGATAAAATTTGAAGATTTAGGATTTTTTTTAGCATATGACTTCATGGTGTAAAATTCATAGTAACTTTGTGTAACTCTAAAGAAAATTATGTAAATAACTTGTATTCTTTGGATGAAGTCATTAATTAAACTGATGATGTTTGGAACTTGAAAAAATTTGTGTCATTTGAATGAATATGTATTTTTAGAACTTGACGAGTCTTGCATTGATTCTTATGACATGGAAGCAAACGTCTTGAATTATTTGATCTCACGATCTTGAAAAAATGGACTTGGAATGATGAATGTTTGAATGAATTTTGAATGATGAAAAAACATCTTGTATTTTCTCCTAGAATTCCAAACAAGTTACACGAATTGATCTTCTAAGTTGAGCAAACTTGCATCATAAGAAAATTGGTCCTTCTGAATATATTGAACCAAAAGCAAACTCATATGAATGATTTGTGCCTCACACACTTGAATTGATTTGAAATAAAAGGCATCATTTGGCTGAATCCTCAAACCTTCTTTTCTAAAACCCTAAATTACATCTTCACCTCATAGTAATTTGCAATACAAACCAATAGTACTTGATTAAACAAATAGTGCTTTAAGAACTTTGGTCAAAGATTCCATTTTAATCCAATAATCACCAACGTTTCAAACACAAATAACAAAGCAATCAAAGAATCCTTGTGCTCAACATTTTGTACCAGGAACGATCTCAACATAAGAATCAACATCTCTGAGAAAACAATTATGGCATGAATTGAAATTAAAGGTTAAGAACAATTCTAAGTCAAGAAATTTCCTATAACAATTTGATAACTTCCAAGGTCTTCTAAGAACAATTTCCCCTCGATCCTTGAAAAAACTTGTAGATGACATCGCTCATGACAATGTGCCAAAAGAATCGCCTCAAAATACTAAAAAGCGAGGAAGTTATGATCTGTGGAAGTTGGGCACAACTATTTTGAGATTAGGTCAAATTCGTAAAATGACCTCTAAAGTATTCGAAATTCTGATGACCATCCATACATAATTAGATCTTGACTTGTAAAGAGAAGTTATAGATGATGTCAAGGAGAGTCATACACAAAAAGAACCATTAAAAAGTAATGAATAATGAAGAAATTACAATCGTTTGAACTTGATATTGAAAATGTTGACTTTTGGTCAAAGTGCTTTGAATCGACTTGCAAATTTGATCTTTCCTCGCATTCCCATACATGTTGATGCACACATGGACCAGTGATGATGAAATCTTGGTTTTTCCTTTGGTTAAAGGCTAAACTTTTATGAAGTAGTCTTTGAGAATTAGTGATTCACCATACTTGAACACTTGAGGGATCCAAAACCCTATTTGAGGTACAACACATGACACACTTGATTTAGACCTGTCTTTGCACATGAAATCAAAGAAACACAAACATACACCTTTTATGGGACTAGGAGTTAGTGATGCATAAAATAAAATGTTCACAACTATAATACGATGGGAGAACTGACTTGGGTGTTTTGCGTTTTATCGTAATTGTTGCGGATAGCAAGAGTCGGCATCAAATTTTATTTTATCCAATAAAGGAAAGGGTGAAAAGAATAGGAAAGGCCTTTTGAGATATTTTCTTGAGTTCAGGGGGTAGGTTATGAAAAGGGAAGGTGTTAACACCCTTTTCATTCGTAGTTATCTACGAGCTCTTAGTTTCTAGCTCACTTTGAAATGCTTTTGTGAATGTGTTTATTTGAAATTATTTTTGAAAAGTGACTTTGTTTAGGCAAACTTTGTAATGGTTCTCGTCTCTATAGGAATATATACAAAGTGTTGACTTTTGAAAATATTTCATGAAAGTGTTGGTGTACTTTGAAAGATGTTTTGTTTTGAAATGTTGGTGAGCAAGCAACTTCGAGCGTTCTACCTACTCAAAAGAAAGTCTTTGTTCTTTTCCTCCTCCTTTAGATAGTGTTATCTTACCATTAGTTAGTAAGAAACCATATCATTGAATGTGAAGGGACAAGCGTGGGTCATCGTACAGTCATAGAAGGCATCATTGTAGGATACCTTAGTATGATCCGTGGATCTGGAACTGACTGTTTAACGCTGGTTCGCGAAATGTCGCGGAAGCAAGAGTCGCCACCGTCTTTTATTTTCTCCAAATGGAAAGGACAAAAGCACAGAAAAATTCCTTAAAGAGATTGCTCTCGGTTCGGGAGGTAGGTTATAGAAAGGGAAGGTGTTAGCACCCTTTCTATCCATGGTTATCCATGGGCTCTTAGATACTTGCTCATTTGTGTTTTCAAAAGGTTTGTTTGCTTTTCAACTGCGGGTTTTTAAATAGTTTCTTTGAAAATTTCAGTTCGACTCGTGTATCGGTCCTCAAGAGTGTTTGAAAAATTGCTTTCGAAAGCTTTTGAAAATGTGTTGGTGTGAAAAGTATTTTGTTTTGTTTTGAAATTTAGAGCAAGTATCTAGAGTCGTCTACCTACCCTAAGGAATTCGTCTGTGTAGATGTCCTTGAAAGTAGTGCCATCCCACCATTGAGAGGTAGGTAGCACCACCGTTGGAGGTGTTCGGGTCAATTCGAGGTTCGGGACATGGTGATCACCGGAGCAATAGGAAGACACCTTAGAAGCTACCCTCATGCCAGGTTCCCGGATCATGAGGACTTACTAAGACATCCTCTACTCGACGATCACCTTTCGAGGCAAGGCAACAGTGAGGCGTACCCGAGGGGTGGTGTGTGATTTGTGTGTCGTGTTCATTTATTTTATCTTGTCATGTCATTGGTGATCTAAGCGTTTGTTTTTATTTAGACATTCATTCTTAAATGCAATTATTAACAGTTAAAAAGTTGCGGAAATTAAAGTTCCTAAACTATTACAAAGGCGCGGGTCTACATCGCCAAATTAAAATCCAGGACCCGATTTGACAAAAAATGAAGAACTAAAGTAAAGTAAAAGTGCGAGAAATATATTACACGGCTTTGGGAGAGGTACATAAATATTAAACAAGAAAAAGAAATAAATACGCGAATTAAAACTTTAAATTGAAACGAGGGCATTGGACCCTTTTTAATGGAATTAAATTAAATTGTTAAATTAATTGAATTAAAGAAAAGAAGTTATTTTTGGTATTTTTGTATTTTATGAGTTTTAATGAAAGAGATTAATGAAATTAAAATTAAATTAACCCTAATTCTATAGCTTTTATTTATTAAGACAAAATATTAAAGTTAAACCTAAATTAACCTAATTATTTACATGCAATTTTAATTTATAAAATAAATAATATTTTAATAATTAATTGTTATGAAAGAAAAGAAAAAAGGATAAAAATTATTACAAACCCTAATTCTACCGAATTTTAAATTGATTAAGGAAAATATTACAATTAAACCTAATTTAATAACTAAAATTAAGGAATAATATTTATTTACAAAAATACTAGTTAAATAAAAATATTTATTATTTTTTATCTTTTCTGATTTTTTGGTGTTTTTTATATATTATGAAAATAATAATTTAAAAGAAATTAATTAAGATAAAGAAAAGAAAAATATAAAAAAAGGTAAAAGAAACAAACTAGAGGGGGGTGCTGTCCCCAAGTGGAGGGTTTGTTGTAGTGATTCAGGCCCATTTATCCTTGGCCTTGTGGACTTTTTCAGGACGCGTGTGGGTGCTTTGACTAGAGTCTATGGTGTTCTTCCAATCAGCGCCTTTGGATTGATCCTGGTAGACATGTGGCGCTCTGGGACTATAGAGTGTACGCTGGGATTCTGGGAACGAGCTACACACAAGCAACGTTAGAAAAATAATAATATGGAAAGGGAGGGGACCTGGGATCGAACCCAGGTCCTGTGGTTCACCAATGTACACACCTTGCCAACTGCTCTATTCACGTTTTCTGTATATTAAATAACAAACAATATTTATAAAATGAAACAACGCGTTAGTGGAGAATTAGCGCGAAATTTCAAATAGACCAATCGCTGCTAGCCACATAGTCATCTTCTTCATGGCTTTATTTTTTTCCTGAAACAAAAACACAATCAGCAACGGTTTTGAACCGTCCCTATAGACACCCTATTGGAAAATAGCGATTAGCCCCTGGGGCCTCATAAATTAGGCGCGAGGGTTCCGTTTTGATCGTCCAAGCACGCTTGTTTCGTTCATGGCATTATGGTGTGCTAATTTTACCCTATCTGGAAA